TTCCTGAACCTTGATTGTACTGCTATAAATCTTGCTTGTGCTCTTTCTCTGTCATAGCGGATCTTTACTTCTCCACACTGATAAGCTATGTGTCCATCCTGTCCGCATTTGTAGCACAGTCTCTCATGTTCGTGTACCAGTTTTAAGTTTGTTTTCTCGAATTGGAACTCTTTACCCAATGCTTGTTGTCTATCCTCTTCTGTTTCAAACGCAATATATGCAAATCTTTCCCTAAAGTAGTTGGTAGTTCTAGGTATGTACATCGTTTTCCCTCCTACATTTTTGCCAATCTCTTCCAAATCATATACTGTTATGCCTGCAGGCAAACCTGCCAGCTTTAATATAAAATCGGATCTTCTTTTTAGTTCTTCTTTTTTCCCTGCCAGCAGCAGGATTCTCAGTTGCTCTTTTCCAAATGGAATTAACTATTGTTCTGCGAGAATTTTTGCAACCTCCTCATTCTGAAAAGTTATTGTAGCTGTTTGCCACATTTTCACTATTCTAAAGTGAATACTTTTAATCTCATCAAATTTCTTTAAAAGGGTTTTGATGGTGCCTTCGCTTACTGCTAATAGTATGTCTCTGATGATCACTTTTTGCTCCAAGTCTTGTTGTTGTAACAAGTGTTCCATGGGAATCAAAAATTTCCTATTTGATTCATCGCCGAAGTTGATCTCACATGCATGCTGCATGTCTATAGGATTACCGAATGTGGCAATGATCTTCTTTTGCCTGTTGAATTCTCTCACAACTCTGACTCCCAAGAAAGAGTCGAAGCGGTAGCATTCCTCCTCTACCATTTCTGCGAATACTGCTGACTCTAAATCTGCTGGAATTTCTATCTCTCCCATGTGCCTTGGTTTCTTAGTAACTTCTTCCTAATAGTTACTTCCTTGTTTTAGTTCATTCGACCCCTTTGTTACTGTCTTCCACTCATCTGTCATCTCATCTCTAATATCTTGTGCCTTGTTGTTTTCTTCTTCTTCTTCTTTTTGTTCCATTTCTATATCTTGTCTGTCGCTCGCCTCTTGCTTGCTTTGTTACTATTCTGTGGATGGCTCCTGTTGATTCTTCTCTTCTTCCATTTGTTCTATCTTGCGTTTTCCTTTCATGTCATTTGTACTTGTGCTTCTTCTGCCTGTCTCAAAAGTTACTCTTTCCCTACTTCTACTCTGTTGTCTTGTAGTGACTTTTTTGCTGATACTTGTTGCCAGGATTCTTGCTTCTCTTGTAGAGCTTATAACCTTTCATTCTCTATCTCTTCCTCTGTTTGAGATTGTTGCTGTTGTTTGTCTTCTGTCCATTTTTCACTGCTTGCCTTTTTTTGGTAATTTCTTATTGCACCACTGCTTAATGGGAAAGAGTTTATCTTATATAACAATAATATATTATAAAATCTATATAATTAAATATATCAAGTTATGTATGATTTGTAAAATATCTTTATTTAATTAAAATATCTAATTGTATTCAAGAACTATATTTAAGAAAAGTTATAATATTTTTCTGCCTATTACTAGGCAATATTTTATTGGCAATCTTTGATATTGTACAGGGAATCCCAGCTCACTCTATTATTAAAATTAGAAATAACAAAAAAATCCTTCAACTGGTACCTGAATACTCAAAAAGGATGGTAAATTCAACTTCTTTTCATTGTCTCAAAGAATAAATCGGTACATACAACAAAAATCTATAGAGATCATATATACCAAACCAAAATCCAGACCAAAATCAACCAGAACCATCCAGTGGAACAACCCTTCGCTACACTTTCCAGAAAACCTCCTAATCAACAATACTTGTTTGGATAGCAGTATCAGATAGTACAAGAAAATTTTTAGTATTACTAGAGACTACATGGTATATGAAAGCTCCTCAGTTGTCCAAACATTTGAACGAATACATACCCCACACAATCTAAAAGTTATCAACCAGTCCAATAAAAATATTAGAAAACTCCATAATAACAAATACAGTATCTTAATAGCCTTCAGAATCAAACTGCTCTCAGGAACTCTTCCAACCTGTCTTACACTTCACCAGTTATATCCTAATCAATACCCAAATACTCTTTGTCCATAATGTAAACTTTATACAGAAGACATTTAACATGTTTTCAAATGCATTGAAGCATTATAAGCAGCTGAGCAAATTATTAAAACTATTAATTAAACTCTCCATCCAGACGATAATTATAAACTAATCTCACATATATGGCAAGTCGTTGAGTTGTTATGTGAAGTTATAGACAAAATCTTTTTAACCACAGACTCTACAAACTGGATCAAGGCAGCAATAGAATCTTTGTCTTTATTGCACAATCTAATTTGAAAATCATGTTGCTCTACAGCCAATACTTCATCTTTCACTGGAATCAAGTAGGACCATACCAAGATATATAACTCAGCCAATTCTGCTAATCCAGAAGTTAAAAACACCTTACAGGCCAAAAATATCTCTGATAATCCATAAGATAACATCATTATTGATTTACCTTTTACCGTAGCTAACTCATTCATCCAATCTAAATATAATTATTCCAAATGTATTTATAGTCTAACAACTCTATTTATCAATTTAAAGTTTCAAAATAATATTAAAATAATATTAATTTATAGTAAATTTAATATATAAGTTATAATTTATTTATATAAATTTAAGTTAAATTTACAATATTGACTATAAATAATAGAAATTTTAATTTTTTAATTTAAAATTTTTGTGTTATAATTATCAATTTATATTACTATAATTTTTTTTTTTAGCTTGTATTTTTTTATTATTAAAAATTTTTTTCCTATATATTGTATATTCTTATAATAAAATAAAATTGTTATTAAAAATATAGAATAATTTTTTCATTTATTAAAAAAATATTATTTAAGTATTGTAATATATCAATTAATAAATCTTTATCTCTTTAATAAAAAAACTGGGTTTTCTGAAATAACCATATATAAATATATAAAAAAATTAAAAAAAAAATAATTTAAATTTTATATTTTATTTGAAATTAAAAATCCTAATAATTCAATTTGGTTTGATTTTCAATTCTCAAGTTTATATTAAATTTAATATATAGATTATAACTTATTATTATTTTTAATAATATTTTAAATCTTATACAAGTCTATACAAATCTATTTAATTTCAATTTTCAGAATTATATTCAGAATAATTTTTTAAGTTGTTTTCTAAAAAACTTAATAATCTTAATAAATTTGTAAATAAGAATTTAAAAATTTCTGTTAAAGAATTTGTATTTAAATTGAATACCAATAATTTAAACTTATAATATTAATGAGCATTATTAATAAAATGCTTTCAAAATATAAATTAATAGTTACAATTTTTAAATAAGTTTTTTTTCTTATTAAAAAATACAAAAATTATTACTTAGAATAGACCAATGATTATATTAATAACAAATAAAGCTGTGTTGTTGTTTTTTTTAACAAATCTACTTTTTAAATATTCTATAATACAACTCAAGTTTATTATATAGCTAATAAAGAATAACCATAATATTCTATAGTTAAGCATTTATATAAGGTTTATAATATATGAAGTACATTTTCAATAAGAAGTATTATTAGTTTTCATATGTTTATTCAAAATATAAATAGGAAATTATATTGTTAAATTTTTATAAATAATCTTGTTAATATACAAATTATAATAGATCATAGTTGGATCCTTTAACAAAAATAAATAAATTATAAAAATTAATATTTAAAATTTTATTAAACAAATTTTTTTTTAATTTTAATAATTATAATAATACAAATTCATATAAAAAATTATTTAACATTAAAAATTCAATAAAAATTTTATGGCATATAAATTTAAATTAAGACATTTTATAACTTTAAATTTTAACATTTTTTTTTTTTTAGAATATTAAAAATAAATATAAAACTTTATAACATTATAATGTAAATATAGTAAATTTATAAATTAAAAATAATAAATATGTCATTATTACTTTTAATATAAAAATTTAAAAAAACTTAAAATATATATATGATGATAATTAAGAATTAACAAATTTTTTATTGATTTCTTTTTTTCTTGAGAATAATTTTTCTTATAAATTTTTTAAATAAATTTTTAGACTTTATTATAAAAACAAATAAAAAACAATCATTGAAAAAAAAACAAGTTAAATTGCTATATATATATTTATATTATTAAAAAACAAAAGAAAAAGAAAAGGAAAAGTTTGCCTTGATAAATAAAAACTTTTCTAAATCAATCTCTAATTCATTAGGATAAATCTTTTATCATTACAATATTTTATTTGTATCTGTTGTGGGCATTTAATAAAGTAACTAAAATAATTATAGAAATTGGAGAGATAGCAATTGTCAAGATTGAATTTGATTTATTATTTATTTAATAAAAACGTGCGTTTATTATGCTTTGGTTGACCTTTGTAAAAAAACAGACTCAAATCTTTAATTGTGAAAATCTATCCAAAGATATTATTGAAACAAAATAAGCACTGCATTATTTAGAGAGGTTGAGACTAAATATATAAAGTTAACCGGAAACCTTTTGATATAATAATTTAATCAAGGCATTTGTACAATGACATTTTGTTTTAATAAATTTTTAACTATAAATGTCCAAAGCAGGCAAATAGTGGTATGAGTCAACTAAGGATTTTCTCCTGGTTGGCATACACGCAATTTACATTCATCAAGGCAAGTCTGATCGCCGGGTTTACAACAAGAATTGGGATTACAAGCACAGCTAGGCAAATTACATGTCTTGAAGCAAGTCTCATCGCCAGGTTGGCAGCAAGCTTGGGGGTTGCAGTTTGGATTTTGACGTTTCGTCAGATCATTAATACTCGGATATGCGAAAGCGACAACAGCAAAGATGGTTAAGAAGAGTAAGAGAAGGTTGAATTTCATTTTGACTTTTTGATCCGTTTAATCGATTTTTTCTTTAAAAAATTTGCCTTCTTCCTTACCTCTTTATATAATACTTTCTCATCGTGATTTATAACTTTAGCGACGTAGATACAGTGTACATGAAACTCTAATACGTGGACTTGAAACCGGTTATTTATACTTCAAGTTTTTATTGGCCTGTAATGATCAGCCTTAATACAGTATAAAAAACGACTTATTAACAAATTTATCAATAATATTAATTTACTTAATGAACGAGAAAATTTCTGACTGAAGGAGGGCTTGATCATAGTATTCACTGTATCATCTCTAAACAATCTTGTAAATTTAAAACTAGATGATGAAACGAACTGTACGACTCATATAGACGAAAGCAAACGTGAACTCTTTCATTTATCTCGTGTGTAGCAAGTTCGAACCAACTATTTCTAGTAAATTAATGCGATTACGAGTTATAGCCAGGAAAATATGCCGTGTCTCAAAGGACGCAATAAATCACTTCTAGCGAATCAATGGAATTAAACGCGTTATAGTTGTTCTCGAGGTACGACTCAAATAAGTATTTACGCTCGACAAAATACTAATACATTAGGTTTTTCAAAATTCTAGAGCATGTGATAGTAATTGTTTCCGCGACATAGGTTAACCCAATCAAAAAGAGTAAACGGATACAAACTCTTCCACTCTCAAATGTGGCTATGCTATTGTTTGCGAATTTGTAGGACGCGATTGATCTTTCGCGTTGCGCACTCTGTAATAAGAATTAGATAGTTCAAGTTAATGATTGTTAATCATGCATGAACTAATGAAATTTTAAAAAAAAAAAAAAAATTTTAATTAAATTTAATTCAAAAAAAATTTTATAACAAAATATTTATATGATTATTATTGAAAGAAAAATAATTTTATGCATAATTAAATAAATAGTAATCAAAAACATTATTGATATTAGATTTATTTATTTTGATTAAATATATTTTTAAAGCAACAAAAAAAAAATTGATTATGTGATAATAAGATAAATAATAGAAATTAAACTTATTAACAAAAATTTTTGATTATTTGATTTTTTATTTTTTATTATGATTTTTAATATATTATTTTATTATCAAGTTTTTTAAATACACAATAAATTGATTATTGAAAAATAACACTTGTTAATAAAATTACATTTTGAGTTATTTAACCTTATAAATTTTTTTTTGTCATTTATTATATATACAGTGGTACCCAAAATTATTTGGAATTTTTCTCAATATGTACAACTCAGTAAAAACTTATCTAAATCAAATACA